TTCAAAACCTTAGTGAGGCTTGAGAAACATTATCCTACTGAGTTTCTTTCTTTTCTTTTTATTTAACAAAAAAAAAATTACACTGGACTATACAACTCATTCCTATTTATCATTTTCCAAAAATTGAACAGTAGACATGAGAGGTAGCTGAGGAGTTTCTTTAGGAGGCTTGAGTATCTTTTAAGTTATTTCTTCTACCAATGGCGAAATGTGAGAGGAGTCCTACATTATTTTTGATTTTAGACTTTGATTAGGATTAGTTTTGCTTCCGTTGTACCTTTTTTATAGGTTTTTGGGATTTTAAACTTAATTTAGGTAAATGGTTGAATTATGTTGTGGTTTGGTTTATAGTTAGTGGATGTGTGTTGGTTATGTTCTCTCACAGGTTCTGACTTGCCATCATGATCAATGCTTATGATATTTTATTTATTTAAAGTTGAGATTTTTGGGAAGTGATGTGTTCTAAATCTAAATTGATTAATTTGGTTTTCTATAAATTTAAACTCGGCTTCAATTTTTAAGTATAATTGAATTGGTTTATGATCACGCCATTTTTTTAAGAAAAAAAAGAGGGGCGTGATAGTGATAATGTCATTTAGGTGCTTAATAGGAATATTTTAGGTAATTAGAATTTGTCTTAATATTTTAATATTTTATAATAAGATTAGTAATTGTCCGTACCTGAAGGCATTATATTACTCAATAATATTTTTAAAAATTTTCAAAAAATTTCTTCTTCAAACATTTCAGCATAGCATTGAAGCTACAAAGAACATCCATGCATTGACGGACAATTACCATTTGCTTTAGTTCACTGACAACAACCCTTCTATAAATGTTTAAATTTCAACTTTCAAACAATTTTAGTTCCCAATTTTAATTCTTCGAGTTTCAATTCTCAAATATACTATAAAAAATTTACTTATTAGGAATAACAAAATGACATACAAATCCTTGAAAGCATACATGTTAGCCAGTCAATTAAACGTATATATTTTGTTCTCTTTAAAACAACGCTACAGTCATGAATCAATATCTGTATAAAACATTAAATACTAAACTTAAACTAATAAAAATTCACTACTTCTATATAATACAAAAAATCATAAAACTAAATTCATTATGGCTCATGGGTACCTAAAAAATAAACTAACTTATCTCTTTCAACAACTGAAAAATAAAAAGTGTCATAAAATGAATGATTAAATTAATGAATAATCACATACAAAATTAATTGATTTCACGGGAGAAGGTATGTATAGTCAACGGAGTAAAAACTTGGCTAAAAATAAATCAAACCCATATATGAAAAATATAAGAAATATAAATGCCAAACAACAAACAAAACCTAATACAAAATTGTTGTCCTTAATATATAAGCAATCGATGCAAAAAAATTTTTGGTCATACAAAATGTTAAAAAACAACATGTGAAGCAAGCATTGAAATTATAAGTATATATGAATGTGCAAATTATAAGTATATTTGAATTATGAAAGAAATGAAAACGTTAGATTAAGCAACTACACCTTAAAATGTAGAAAAATCAAGGAAGTCAAGAAAAAGGTTTTCAAGCATTAACAAAAAACATAGTCAACTTTTCAAATGTCATAGCCATCAAGCAAAAACAGAAAACGTAGTCAAGAAAAGTGCCCAATTTCCCATTTATATAGATGAGACGATGCAAAAAATGCCAAAAATAATTTCAACTCTAAAAATAAGCAAAAATAATTCCAAAATTCAACTCTATAAATGTCTTGCCTGAAGACACCATTTAAAAAAAAGTCAAATGATTTTCCATCTTAGAGAAAGTTTTTAGTTCATCAGATCGACAATCTTGAAATAATCTGAGGCGTTCTAACTATTTTATAAGTTTGATGGTTTGAAACTCTTTGTACTTTACTATATCTTCGTAACATTTATATGACAATCAACCATATCATAACAATAAGCCCAAGCAGTAGTAGCACACAACATTCATACCAGAACATATTTTATACCTGCTATTATTTTTTTTTATTTTGGCATACAAATTTAATAAAATAAAATTTAGTAATAAATATTTCACATTGATGAGTCATTTAGAAAACAGAGAGCTCAAAAGAGATAGAGATGGGTCATTCAAAATTGGAGAGCTCTTAAAAGCAATTAAAGTTAAGCAATGTCCAAAGCAATTAATAGTCTCTCTCCAATCAAGCCACCTAAGGAACCCAAACACAATAATAAATTTTAGTTTTGTTATTACATCACACAAACCAAATTTACCCTGACTTGAATGAAATTTTGTTCACAACAAAATCAATAACCCAAACCCAAATATTACATGTAATAGCGACACGAATCACAGAAATGACATAAAAAATGGTGAACAAAATTATACTTTACCACTAACGATGAACGAACAGTCCTGGGGCTTTTTACTTCTAAGTAATTGCGAAATTGCTTTAAAAACATAAAACAAAAGAAAACTTCAGAACTCAAAATACCAAATCACAATAAATAAAATAAAATTTCAATATTCAAAATTATTGGTATGTTTTTTCTGACTGTGTGGCGGTGTTAAAAAATAGACATGTCACATTTTTGTTGAACAAAAAAAAAAGAATGGTGCCAAAAAATAATTTTTTGATACAGAAGTAATTCAAAGAGATAGAGAGAGAGATCTAATAAAGTTGGGTGACGGTCGTATATGTGTGAGAGAGAGGTAGAAGAGAGATGGAACTCTAGTGTTGGAAATGTAACAAAACTCTTAATCCAATTCGTGGGCGGGAAAAAAAATTGGAAATCAATTAAAATTGTCAGATCAACAATCTTGAAATAATCTGAGACATTCCAACGATTTTATAAGTTTAAGAATTTGAAATTTTTTGTATTTTATTATATTAATAGATAGGATCAAAAAACTCAAACCGACTATGACCACTTTTCAAAATCTCAAAACTCTAACATTTCACAAACTTAATTATTTGAATATTCATTTGTCATTTGTCATTTGTCATTTGTCAAATGAATATTTTACCATATGTTGGAATAGATTTGAGGGGACCATTGGGAGACTTCATTGGTAGTCGGAATTGACATATACTCATATTTTTGACTTTTTTATAGTCTTTTCTATTTTAAATATGAAGTTCATACTTATCCAGGTCACGAGGAATTTATCTCTCGTGAAATTTTTAGTTTTAGTGTGACATCTTTGACTAGACAGGAAGGACATTATTCGATATGTGCATAAATTGGGTCAGATACCCTTAATCATAATACCAACAAAAAAAAAAAAACAAGTTCATAGGTATCTCATTGAGAACAATATTTTACAAATACTATCAAAATTTTCTTAGAATACACATTAATAAAAGTTTGTAAAAATTATAGATTTACAATAGGTAGAAAATTAACAAGCATTAACATGAAGTACTTTAAAAGAAAACTTTAAAACCTGATAAACCCAAATTTAACTGGGCTAGGTCCAATTAATGAGTTAGGCGCTCAAATTAGTTACAAGGCAGGTCAAGCCTAATTCATGGATTCGGCCCAGTCCAGAGTTCAAGGAGTCCATAAGGATTAGAGCACATGGGGAGCAATTATCGAGATACTCACTCTCGAAGAATAAGACAACCTTTAATTGTACTTACCTTTTGTACCTCCCTGAAGATCTAGTACCTATACCTATCCTCACTTCACCGCCTCAATTAAGGTTCTGTACCTATCAATTGTAAACTCTCTCTGCATGAGAAGACACCTCTCTACACACCGCACACATAGTTTTTTTCTCTCTTAGCTATTGTATCCCTCTCCGGGCAAACCATTGTTTTCTCTCTCGTTCACCTTACTTTTAATCAATAAAAGGTCCTCCCGACCATCGTTGTCGTTTTTCGGAGTGGAGTAGGTCACCTGAACTGAACCACTATATATCTGAGTGTTGACCCGATATTTAAATTATTGTCATTGATTACTCTATTAATTACACTTTATTACACACTCGACTGTTGATCTTGTATAAGACAGTTTTGTTCATCATCAGTTTGGAGTCATCTGTGGGAAACGATTAAGTTTTCTACTACCTTACTACTCTCTTTCAAATACATGGCGATCACAACCAGATTGATGAGTTAACAACTAGGGGACAACAACCCGGCCCTCTGAGAGGAGGTTCTGCTTCCGCCCGCACCCACAAATCTATCCATTACGATGACTCCCATAGTTGAGGAATAGCTTTTACAAACCACGCAACTGCTGGTAAACTAAAATCAGCAAATCATCTAGTTGATGCTCATCCAGGGAAGCGTCACCCCTCAGCCTATAGGAGGAGTACCACTCCCTTCAACGAGAGATGCACTGCAACCTCTCCACATTGGGCCCTAAGCCACCCCCACCATGGGGCCCCGCGCCAAAACACCCCCAAGTAACACCAGGGTGCCCCCTCGCTCTGGAATCTACACCACCGCAGGAGTCTCAGGAGCATAAACTGCCACAAGAATCTCGGGAGGAAGTATCACGCGCCTCTGCACTCGCCTGGTCAATGCATAATGTCTCCACCCACCATGAGGCAAGCTGAAACATTATCCCAAGAAACCCGACGTCTCGGAGATAGCTCCACAGGCCTCGAGAGACCACACTCTGAGACTAGAGGTGCCTGACTCCTTTATGCCTACTCCATGGGAGCCGTTCGTGCCTTCGCCCACCATTTACTGTACCATGTTGGAGACTATGCGTTGATGGGTCCTCCACCAGCGAGGACGATGACATAGGACTAGTTCTGATCAACCCCCATGGCACTCCACTCAAGTACGCTCTGTCCCTCCACTTTGCAAACATCCAACAAACCAAGCTGAATATGAGGCCCTTAAATCAGGCTTAAAGCTCGCATTGGAGATGGAGACCCTCAGCCTGACAACCTACAATTACTCACAACTAATAGTCAACCAAGTAAATGGAGGGCTCCCACCGGTGTCCGTACCCAGTGCCCCAGCACCTAGGCCCCCGTGAGAACCAACGCCCTAGCGCGTAGCACCAGTGCTAGATAGTGCTAGCGCACTTGCCTGTGCAGTTGCGTCACTCAGATTGTTTGCAAGGCATCGGCCAAGGCCATTGCCTACCCAGTGGCATTGCCCACCCCACCTGCTACAAGCATTGCCCAAACAGCTCGACTTCAAGGTGTCACCCGCAATCCTCAGCGTGCACACCAGTGCTAAGCACTTAACACCAGCCAGTGTCTGCGCCTAGCAGACAACATCTAGTGCCTATGCCAAGCGGATAATGCCCAACAGACAACACCCAGCGCCTGTACCCAATGGACAAAGTTCGGTGCCTTTGCCCCATAATCAACATCCAAACGCCAAGCGGACAACTCCAGCGCCTATGCCCAGCAGACAACGTCCAGCGCCTATGCCCAGCAGACAACGCCCAACACCTGCGCCAAGTGGACAACGCCCAACAGACAATGCCTAGCACCTGCGCCCAGCAAACAAGGTCCAATGTCTGCGCCCAGCGGACAACGCCTACAATCCTCAGCATGCACGCCAACGCTTAGCACCAACTAGTGCCAACACCAACGGTAGCTCCTACCATCCAGCGCCCAACGCCCCAGCTTGCGTTGCCCATGGCCACTACACAGTGGTGTCGCCCTCTGCCTCCAGCCGTGGTGTCGCCAATTAGCCCATGGTGTCTCCTCTTGTAGCCCACATCTTTTGGCGTCATTGCACCTGTACCTAGCACTCCTCAACATCCATGCCTAGCAGCGTCCAACGCTCCTCAACATCCATACCCAATGGCATCCAACATTCCTCAACATCCATGCCTAGCGGCGCCCAGTGGCGTCAAGCACCCCTCGTCGTCCTCGTCCAGCGGCGCCCATGTCTCAATCTCCAGCTTAACGGCCCTCATGAGAGTCGCCAAAAACTTGGCCTATCTTTATCTCTACTCTCACGCAAACAGCCTATGTCTCCAACTTAGCAGCTCTTTCGTGAGTCGCTAAAAGTTTGATCTATCTCTACTCTACTCTCAAGAAAGTAACCTATATCTCTAGCTTAGCAACCCTCAGGAGAGTTGCCAAAAGCTTGGCCTATCTCTATCTTTGCTCTCACACAAACAACCGGTATCTCTAGCTTAGCGGCTCTCTCAAGAGTCATCAAAAGCTTGGACTATGTTTGCTCTGCTCTTAAGTAGGTAGCCTATATCTCTAACTTAGTGGTTATCACGAGAGTCGTCAAAAGCTTGGCCTATCTCTGCTTTGTTCTGCTCTCACACAGGCAGCCTATATATCCAACTTAGCGGCTCTCAAGAGAGTCACAAAAAGTTTGGCCTATCTCTGATTTTCTTTCATGCATGCAGCTTATATCTCTAGATTAGCGGCTCTCTCGTGAGTCGCTAAAAGTTTAGCCTATCTCTTCTCTGTTCTCAAGTAGACAGCCTATGTCTCCAGCTTATCGGCTCTCTCACGAGTCACCACAAGCTCGACCTAACTCTGTCTCTACTGTCACGCAGGCAGCCTATGTCTCTAGCTTAGCGGCTCTCACTAGAGTCGCCAAAAGCTTGGCCTTATTCTGCCTTTATTCTCACGTAGGCAGCCAATGTCTCCAACTTAGCGGCTCTCTCGCAAGTCGCCATAAGCTCGGCCTAACTCTACCTCTGCTCTCACACAGACATCTTATGTCTCCAGCTTAGTGGCTCTCTCGTGAGTCGCTAAAGTTTGGCCTATCTCTACTCTAGTCTCAAGTAGGCAGCTTATGTCTCTAGCTTAGCGGTTTTCTTGCAAATCGCCAAAAACTTGGTCTATCTCTGTTCTGCTCTCAAGTAGGCAACCTATATCTCTAGCTCAACGACTCTCACTAGAGTTGCTAAAATCTTAGTCTATCTCTGTTCTTGTCTCAAGCTGGCAGCCTATATCTCTAGCTTAGCGGCTCTCATGAGAGTCGCCAAAGTTTGGGCTATCTTTGCTCTACTCTCAAGCAAGCAGCTCATGTCTCCAGTATAGTGGCTCTCACCAAAGTCGCCACAAGCTCGGTCTAACTCAGTCTATGCTTATATGCGAATAGCCTTATTCTCTAGAAGCTTGGCTTCGAGGGTTATTGTTCTCTCATGAGCTAACCTCAACTGCAGCCTGGTGCCCAGGTCTCTCTTCCACCAAAGCTCTCGATACCTTGTTGAGTTTGAGTGTCCTCAAAAGTATGGAAAAGTCGCAGCCCATCTGCAAATTTTTGGAGCCAGAATGTCAACATGACCAAGCATACATAAGATAGGGTTTCACATAAAAGTGGGGTACCATAGCAAAGTCCTTTATCTCAGTATCGATGATACCCTCAAGACCCCGAGAGCTGACATCTAAGGGTGTCACAAACCTCCAAAGTCTCTCATTCGCCAAAATTCACATCCTACAGCAGGGACACCAGTCCATTACTAGAAGCATGATAATTATGTGAAGCATTGGGGGCATCAAACCCCATCTTCTAAGAAATAGCAAGACCGTCAAACCTTAGTTGAGAAGCATTGGGGGCATCAGATCTCACCCCCTTCTAGGAGGAGGGGAAGTCACCATCCTAGAGACGTAGAGAGCCTTCGTCGTAAATGATCAACTACGGGATCACCTATGAAAGAGGGAATTTTCATAAACTAAAGACATAATCAATTTGCCTAGGTCCTCCATGGTGTCGCCCGTGGCACCACCTAGTCTTATGACTTCGCTAGTGTTGTCCAGGTTCATACCCATGACGCCACTCACCAAAGCATCTCCATCTCCACGTCTTGAAATGTTCATTCTTCTCTTCATCCTCTCTACAGCAATGTCAGTACTAAATAGAGAAATAAGCTTCAAAAATGCCATCGATGAAAAGCTAAAGAAGCCATATCTATTCTACCAAAAAGAAAAAGCTCACTCATGCCCTCTACCCCCAATCACTACTAGGGCATGGGGCATGGGGGCAAATGACGAGCCCAGATTTAACTAGGCTAGGCTCAAATCAGATACAAGGCGAGTCAAACCCAATTCATGGATTCGGCCTAGTCTAGAGTTCAAGGAGTTCAGAAGGATTAGAGCACGTGGAGAGCAATTATCAGGATACTCACTTTTGAAGATTAAGACAACTTTTAATTATACTTACCTTTTGTAGCTCCCTGAAGATCTAGTACCTTTACCCTCATATCACCTCCTCAACTAAAGCTTTGTGCCTTTAAATGATAAGCACTCTTTACATGAGAGGACACCTCTCTACACACCTTACACATAGTTTTTCTATCTTCTAGCTATTGTATCCCTCCCAGGGCTAACTATTGTTCTCTCTCTCGTTCACCTTACTTAATCAATAAAAGGTCCCCCCAAGCCACCATTGTTGTTTTCCGAAGTGAGTAGTTCACCCTGACTGAACCACACTATATCTAAGTGTTGACCCGATATTTACATTATTGTCATTGATTACTCTATTAATTGTCCATTAATTATATTTTATACACATTCAACTGTTGATCTTGCATAAGACTGTTTTGTGTATCATCAAAACTGACCAAAAAAATATGTTGATATGTGGTTTGATTGCATATGTGATTTGAGTAATGCTATTGGAATATGATAAACTATCATAATATCCCACAAATAATGTCTTTTGTGATATGATAAATAATATAAATGCAAGCACAATTGTTACAATTTTTTGTCGAAATCATGACATCTAACAGATAACTTGTAACACCCCAAATCATGGTACCATATCGGCCACAAATGATGACGAGAAACCAACAACAATTGCATAACTCTGGTACCTTTATATGCATACAAATTATTTTTAAAACCCCACGATTACATCCCAATCGTCTAAACTCGACAATGGAGTCTTTAGTGTTTTTCCTGAAAAGTCATTGAGACTATTAGTGAGAGCAAGGATGCAATCAATAATCATGAGTATGACAAGAGATAAAGAAAATACTTTATTTATTTAGAAACAACCTTAACCATGTTACAATTACCAACATTAAATGGTACACTTCACCACTTACACGTTGTTCGGATACATCACATAGACATAACTTGTATAAATCATATAGGCAAAATTTATAGCTAAAATAGTTACTTTCACACAATTAAATTACGCCACACAACGAATACCCTCACGCATACCCCCGGTCACACATGAAATTCAAGCTACACAAATAATTCTTATCACTTAAACGACATATACCACATAATTAATTCTCATCACTTAGATGACTCAAGTCAGATAGATACTTCTCATTCTTGTCACTTAGACGACTTAAATACGTAATTTAATTCAGTCATGTAGATAGTGTTGTTAATCAACTCGAATCACAACGCTAATTTCGAGCACGTAGATGACTCGTATCAAGGAATTAATTGTTGTCTTATAGGTGACTGACAATCACTTAATTTTTTCTGTCACATAGGCGACATGCAAATACTTAGTAATTCCCATCACATAGATGTCATACAATCACCTAATATTTTCCGTCACGAAGACGATACACAAACTTAGTATTTCTTATCACGTAGACGTCACACAATCACTTAATATTTTCCATCAAGAAGACGACACATAAACTTAATATTTTTTGTCAAGTAGACGTCACACAATCACTTAATATTTGCCATCATGAAGGCAACTCATATGTTTAATTTTTTTTCGTCACGTAGATAACACACAAACTTAGTATTTTTTGTCATGTAGATATCACGCAATCACTTAATATTTTTCGTCACAAAGACGACTCATATACTTAATATTTTCCAGTCACGTAGACATTTCACAGTCACTTAATATTTCCAGTCACGAAGACGATACAAAAACTTAATATTTTTTGTCACGAAGACGATTCATATGACACTTTTATCTTATGGACAACTCATGCATTTATAATATTCCTAATCATTTTGATGACCCATGCTCTCATTGCAACTATCACCATTTTCATGGCTCACACCCACATTATTATCTCATCATAGGAATGCATCATGCTCGCAAATAAATTCAGCTCACAAACAGTTAACTCAAAACGCATGCACAAATATCGTCACACAATTAAACCAAGTCACGAAGCTTACTCCATCATTTAAACCATCTTTGTCTCCTAAATATTACACCACTCAATTATTAAATCTCAAAAAAAATCATAAAATAACCATTTAAACAAAACTTAAATATGTATCAATAAAAAAAAATGTAGGATAGCACACCTACCTTGCATGAGATTCTTCCTCGTAGACGACCCCTCTGTCAGAGCTATGAGTGCGGCATTCTTTGAAATTTTTGCCTCTGGACCTGTCATGCCCAATATCCATAATCCCACTCAAGCATTAATATGTAATAATGGTTTACGAAACTCGAATTTCAATACTCAATTCGAGTCAAATTAATAATTCATTTACATCCAATAAAATTATCTCCTCAAATCGATTAAGCTAATAGTTTAACAATCAATTCTAGTTAAATTAAATAATCCATTTACATCCAATAAAATTATCTACTTGAATCGATTAAGCTAATAATTTAATAATCAATTCGAGTCAAATT